TGCGCCGGCAGCAACCCCTCTCCCTCCACTTAAATCTAGCCGGCATCACCCCGCCGTTTTCCGGACAATCTTCGCGCGACTCGCGAGATGCAAAGTCATAAATGTGTCGAGCTTGAAGCTAATATCAAAATTTGTTCACAATTAATATAATATTTATATATTATATGTAGAGGAGAAGGTGCATTATTATGGCATTCCATTTACGTTTTATACAATAACTTGGTTAATAATAAATATTGAAATTTGAAATTTAACGATTACACATTCGCCAAAGCGTTGTTCAATCGATTCTAGAACTCAAAGTGATTATGAAACATTTATTAGATACTTAACACACTGTTTGTAAAAATAGGGATGGTAATGTGGCCTTCCACAAAAATACATATAGATTTAAAAAATTAGTTTTCTTTAAAAAACAATATTTGTTACAAAATACAAAATAAGAAAGTAAAATATTACAGAATGTATGCAAATGTATATGTATATGTACACATGCTTCTCTCCCATAGAATTGTTCAGTACTAAAAATCTACAAAAAAAATATATGTAATATAAATTATAGGTTATAACAGTAGAGCTACAATCGATTTATGGAATAATTTAATATGAAAATGTCGAAAAAGAGGTCAACAATCAACATGTAGGAGGCAACACATTAGCAAAATGCCATGCCATTGTTTAACTTATTCGCGCGTATATCAAGTAAAATGTTAAATAACAAACAATAACAACTCAATTATACATATATTCGTGTACGCTCAATTTAAGAAAAATGGGAAAGTAGGTATGTATAATTAAATGTACCTTAATCTATATTAGCCTTAATACTACTTTCTCTTTTATATAGTGGAACTTTTTAAATTTTATATGCGTGTACGCATAGATGTTGTTAATTTGCAATGTTTCGTTGTGTTATGCCGATTAAATGAAAATAATTAAGCCGGCAGTGCTTGTTTTTCTGCTGGATTGTCAACTTGATTAGACAGTGTAGTCAGCATTGTCAGCAAATACGCAGCCAATAAAGTTAGTAAAATTCTAATTTAGTTAGCAATCCAGTAGGAAAACAAGCAAGCATTATGTGCCGCTGGCTTTAATCTTAATAATGAACAGTATATTGTATTGTTAGATGTCAAAGAAGTTATGGTAATACAATCTTTTGATTAACACATTTTATTATTTTCAACTTAATTTGAATCAAAATGTAAATCATTTCTGTGGCTAGCTAAGTAAATAACGTCCATATTAATATGTGTACTTAGTAAAAAATAATAAACTAAATTCAAGTCAAATAAAACAATGGAGTCAAACAATTTAATTCAAGCAAATGTATTTGACTTGAATTTAGTTTATTATTTTTTAAAAAGAAAAATATAGAGAGAGACACATTGTTAAACTTATTATGTCAGTGTCTCTCTCTATATTTTGGTATCATCTGTCTTCTTTATTAACAATTTGAAAACGGCGCTCACGCGTCATAACCGAAAAGTTAAATATTACATCTAAATAATTTGTTAATTACTATAATTTACTATAATTTAATCGCTAGAAATTTTGCGTTTCGTTATCTTATATAAAAGTTTTAAATACGTCCAGTCGAAAATCTCGGCACAGTAAAAGAGAGATCTCGCTCTCTAAAAGAGAAAAACCGTTACTTATTTATTTATACTTTGACAGCGAACTAATAAAGACCGAAACTTTGTCACAGGAACCGGCGAGTCGGGCAAGTCCACCTTTATTAAGCAGATGAGGATTATCCATGGCTCCGGCTACTCGGACGAGGATAAGAGGGGGTTTATCAAACTTGTGTACCAAAACATTTTTATGGCGATGCAGTCCATGATCCGGGCGATGGACCTCCTGAAGATCCAGTATGGCGATTCCTCGAATATAGTGCGTATCATTCACAATTTTATCGATTGCTCATAATTAATAGGTCTATGCAAAGAAAACCTTTGAATTTTACAGCAGCAATAAATAAATATCGCAAATTGCGTTACACGTATATTTTAAAACAAAATGAAAAAAATTATAAAAAATTACAGTTTTTTCCTGTTTTATTTAAAATAATACAAAAAGTTTGACGATTTAGATTCTGGTTAAAATATTATTTTAGTTAAAAGTAGATGTGTTTTAAGATAAAATGAGAAAATTTTTATTTAAACTATAAAATTGTATTGTTAAATATAGATATTGACTTTATTGTGAACTATTTCATATGTATATAACGTTCATTTTTGTACAGGAAATATAAATTTCTACGGCATTTTCGAAATTGGAGCAACACTAGATATAAATTTACGATTTTACTACAGTGTCTTTACCGAGAAAAATGTTCTCGTTGTATACCATCAAGAAGTACAAAAAAATGAATTCTGATTCTATCAATCAGAATTTCGGTTATCGTAAATGAATTTCTAATTATATCATGTGCTAGATTAGAATGTTTAATAAATTTAATTACAAGTATCTGATTTGTACTTTTCTGATTGAATCTCTGATCGAAACAGAATTTTTTCCAATTAGTGCAATATAATTTTTTTCCAGAGCTGATAAAAATATTACACTTCACATTATAATTTTTGCTTTCTTTAATTAATTTACTGATCCTATCACGTGTTATTTTACGCGGTTCCGAGATATATATCTGATATACACATCAGATATATCAAACGCTTTAAATCTGCTATTGCGATCGTATGCAGGTCAGACTTCGCGTTAAAGGGTTAATTAAAGCGTTAACTATGCTGCACATGAGAAGGTTAACGATAATTTCATATCGCATACTTGATATCGGACATGCCGATACGAGTTTCAAACCGGAAACTCGTAAATTATATATTGTAATTTCGCTTCGTCATTTCCCTAGGTTCATACGTTTTTTCTTCCTCTTCCTTGCAGGAAAAAGCGGAACTGGTGCGGAGCGTCGACTTTGAAACGGTGACGACGTTCGAGAGCCCGTACGTGGGAGCAATCAAGGACCTGTGGGCGGACGCGGGTATACAGGAGTGCTACGATCGTAGACGGGAATACCAACTCACGGACTCCGCCAAGTAGTAAGTATTTTGACTGTATGCTACGTTTTTTGTCGCGGAACTGATGCTTGTCCACGTGTTTTACCGAGAGATTATCCTCCCGTTCATCCATATATAACATCCTGAATTTCCTCACCGAAAAAAACTTATGTAACAGGACAACTCAACACTAGTCTTTCTCTCATTGATTCGTTTTCAACAAATTGAGGCTTTTTCTCTTGAGAAAAGCATCAAGACTCTCGACTTCTGCGTTCTCACAAACAAATTTTATCTTATCAATTCGTCTGTACAATTCTGATCAAACGAAAGGAGACATTAAATTACAACAAATATTTTTTATCGGAACTGTGTACGATACATATGAAAATACTTTGTATCTTCCGCCTCCAGAACACACACACACACACGCGCGCGCGCGCGCGCAAACATATCCAAACAATTCCTTTCCAAAAGGGCTTGGGTCAGTTTCTAATAAAGACTACCTTTTAACATATAATATATGTAGGAATATATTTCCGTCCAGTTTCTCTCTGAAGAAAAAGAGAATGATAGTTGACTTAAGACCTTTCAATAAGCTCTTCATTTTCAAAGACTTTACCGAGATTTGTCTTTGAATCTTGTTTAAACACGTGTCTACCTTATCCTTCTTGCGTTTGCGTTTCGAAGCAGTGCTTCTGATATTCACGCGCGCACCGGACACGATTTAATTCTCTCACGGTGGCTTTACTTCCTTCCTCTCCTTTTTTCCTCTTTCCTGTACATCGCGTATTGAGAACACGATGTTTCAGTTACCTAATGGAGATAGATCGAGTCGCGGCACCAAACTACCTCCCCACAGAACAGGACATTCTTCGTGTGAGAGTGCCCACCACCGGTATAATTGAATATCCCTTTGACTTGGAAGAGATCCGATTTAGGTATGTGGTCGACCGATGAAGATGATGAAAGAAGGAGAGAGCTGCCTGCGCCTGCAAAACCACCTGCATCGGGCCGTTTCTGCATTATTTTTGTCTTCTATAACTTACTCGTTGCACCTAGGACTTGTTGTTCAATTAAGTGTTCACCTGTCCCCCGTTCCACGCAATGCTATTTAAACCTGTGACTTTCTTCTGTTAAATATAAACAAAACTGACGACAGGATTTTTTAATTTGCTAAAAGCTGTGGTCGCGTTCATTACCATATTAGATGTGATCGAATTGATTTAACTGTATAGATGAAAATGAAAAATTTTTTCTGCTTTATAAAGATCTAAAACAGATCTATAGCAGACTATAGTTTCTTTTCTTTGGTATCTAATGTATTGATAAAAATTACAACTGCGTAATTACTTTATTTGTGATATTTAATTTAATTTTACCTTTTATTTGAAATCTACACACACACACACACACACACACACACACACACACACACACACACACACACACA